TTAATTGGGAAATGGTTGTTCATTTTATAAAGGGGGCCAATTTCCCTTTTTCAACAAATTCGCGGGTTTTAAGGGTTTTAAAAAAATTTTTCAGACTTGTCAGAGGCTTTATTCTTAGACTGGTCTCTCTAGAAGTATAAAGTGTTTAATAATCATGAACTTGGTAAAAAACTGTAAAACCAGTCTACTAAATCTACTGTACAGTCTACTGTAAATTTTCCCATTGGCACATTCAAATCAGTTTTAAGCCAATAAAATACTGCTCTTGTTTAGTTGTTTTTATCTTGGCATCAGAACTTTTTTTTTCTTTTGAAAAGAAATCAAAATTTTCTATTTACAGTCGAAAGGCACATTCTCCTCATAATTATATAACATGAACTAAACTTTAAATAAAATCAAACTTAATGTTTCTTTAACTTACTTATAAGTACATTTACATTTATAGGTTTGTTAATAAATGTCTATATCATATAAGTTTAAGTATAAGAGAGTCTTGTCTTGTGTAAAATTTCAATAATATTTTCAGCCATCAAGTCTTGCATACTGTCAGCAAATTTATGCAAGACGTGTTAACACGACTATCGATTATATTGATATTCTACAAGATAGGAATACATACTGTGTATAATATTGTTAATCAAACAATTACATTTACATAGAACAATTCAAATGTGAAATCTGGCAAGCGTACATGTACATGCATTATAATTATAAACAGCTATTACTTGCAATGACAGTGTCCTGTTTTTAACATCTGATAAACCTTAAGACAAAACCATTTTATAACATTTTACAACAAGTGATTGTTCCTTATAAATTTTAATTGAGGTAGTTAGTCAAATATAACAAAAAATTAATGTATCACAAATGATTTATGGAACCTATTGCATTACAAAAACATGTTAGAAAAAATCACTACTTGTAGAGAGATTATAATTAATATTAGTTTAAGAGCTGGGTAGTAAATTTATATAAGATATACAGCCATTACTTGACCTAAACACTGTTTCAAATTTCTGGTCTCTTAATCCAGTACTAAAATAATCTTCACAACAACCTAACAACTTCACAACTTGAGTAAGGTGTGGAGAATAAATGACTTTTCAATGACCTATCTTGGAGTCTCGAACCAAACTGCAACTGGTAAATGTGCCTTCTTATAACATGGACATATAAATCAGAAACCTTGGTCTGGGGTTATAAAAATATTCATTAAGCTCTAACTCAGATCTCAGGAATTTGATTGGTCAGAAACTGGCACTGTATGTACAATGACCAATAAAAATCCTGAGATTTGAGACAGAACTCTGAACAAAATAAAAGAGTTATATAACCGTGAGGCCAAATCATATTGAGCTTTTGCAGTCAATTTAAATAAATTTGAAATAACAAACAAAATAAAAAAATAAACATGAATCATATAACTATTACTGTAAAGGAAGAGATCTCAGTTACATACATAATGTGCAAAAAACCAACAAAAACAAAGAATACATTTTTAACAAGTCTGAACTTATCTCCTAGGAAACTTCGAAACCAATAGTACAAAGAAGTTACATAATGTGTTATTTACAACAATAATGAATGACATGTAGTTACAGATGGGGTATACTATATATCAAACAGATGTAACCAATAGCTATTTTAATGCCCTGTTGAAATGTTTATGAAGGATATGCCGTCCAATCACTGTCATTTAAATCTCTAAGTAAATCCAAATAGCAGTTGAAAAAAAAAGGTTTAAAGAAGTAAACTCATGTACATGTCATGATAAAGATTTTTGTAAATAAAAAAAATCTAAATGAACTTCCTAGGAATCCCATTCTAGGTCACAAAACAAATATATATACATGTATATATAATTTCATTTTTTTATTTTTTTTCCTTTTTGGTTTTTTTTTTCGTCTTTTTTTTTTCTCGATTAATGACTTGTTGCAATGCTAGATAATGATTGGTCTAAATCACTATAAAAGTTGACACAATGTACAATATTTCAATGAAAAAACTATAAAAAAAAATTGTGTTACTTGCTGTACAAATGCTTGCAAATCCCTACATAACTACTTTAACTGTAGAATGTTTTGTTTAGAAACTAACCAATTTCTATCTCATTCTTTCCAATGGCTTTAACCCTTGCCCAGCTAGAAAAAAAAGATGATCAGCCATTGTCACCATTGTAGAGCCAGGCCAGCATGCACATTCTGTGCAGTATGATCAGGCACTGTTGTGTTGACAGACCAACTTTTGTATCCCTGTATTGAATTCCCTTCAACTTTGAATGGATTGGTCCAAATTCAAAGCAAGGTAAATCCATTATATTAGGATAAGGGTTAATTTAACAATATAACAACTGAGCATTATTCAAACATAATTGTAAACTGTACAAACACAATAAACACAATCTGCTATCATTATACTTATGGACAGAATGTCAACATTTACTATTTGTTTTCTACAATCATGACGGCTTTTAACTTGCTATACCAACATTTTCTACAGCATTTCAAACCATCAATGCTCTGCAGACGCACCATTATGCATTCACTATGCAAACTTTATGCTTACATGTAAATTTCACACATTACACAAACACATACATTTTTTTAAAACTACTGGCCCAGACACATAGAAACTAACATACAAACATTCAAAAATCAGAATAAAAAACTAGTGCCCTAACTATGTCACCGCTAAAATGAGAGAAAGCCCATTCCTTTGAATTAATATCGCTCAATCCCATTTTTTAAAAATACTTTTCCATGAAATAATCCTAAAATGCTAAAACTTCTATATAAACCAGTCGTTCATTTCTAACACGTGATTGGTTGCAGCTGAAATTTAAATTTGAAATTAACCAATCAGAATGCAGCTTACATGATCTGAGATTAATAGATGTGTTATCTCGAATATCACTTTCAGAACCTCTCTATTAACATTTTCCCTTTAAATGCAGACTAAAGGAAATTTATTATCATAAAAGTATGACAAAATAACGTGAATAAGTTGTATAAATCTTAGTGAAACAAATGATCTTTTTACACCTTATAGCAATTATTAATTCTAAGAAGCTAGGAAAAGTAACATATGTTCAGTCTGCAAGTTAATTAGGACAGTGCAATAATATTCCAGACAATCGGTATTGTCTAGTAAATCCGGTGTCTAGAAAATGGGAGAATTATTATTCTACATTTACATTTTGATCAAGAGCTACAAAATATTTCAATTACTAAGTTTTACAAAAAATATTAGATATTATGGCAGTTAAATTACAATATTTATATATTATCCATATTGACATATATCTATAATTGTGTGACTAATGTGTTTGCAATAAAACCTTGTTGCAGGGAAATATTTTTAGCATAAAGATGTTTGTATAAATTATTGTCTGTCTTAAAATTTCAATCGCAAACGACAGGTAGTTTTTCGTCAAATATAACATATATGGTATATGTGAAATAAATCAAAGGGCCATAATTCTGCCAAAAATGATTTACCCACATAAAATGCAGACAATATGCCTTGGGGAAACTATCTTACAGTGAAAGTTTGGTTGATATTCATTCAGTTGCTTGCAGAAGAAATTGTTGATGCCCATTTACAAGCCTAGAAAAGAATTGTTGACAACCTGATGGTCTGCCCTACAACCTGAACACAGACATTCACCAATCTAATACAAATTTACATTATCTGAGGCTGAATGTTACAGAGTCATAATACACTGAAGTAAAAAGGAAAAAAAGATATTAAGTAAAGATATACAGTGAAATATAAATCTTGGCTATCATATCACAATACAATGTACAAGTAAATGTGTTGTAAATCACAAAGTCACTCTCAATATTCTGTTAAAACCACAGAGAAAGAGGATGATTTATTATAATAATGACATATCTACAGCAGCTGTAGACAAACATGGCATAAATGCACTGAATAAGTAAAGAGTTGTGCTCATTTTATTTTAATATTTGCCTATGGGAAGTAAAATACATGCAATCCTTTATAACTCAAATTCATAAAAATGCACTTTTATGATCTTTTTTAATTTGGTTTAACATAGGTGTTATTAAATTTTAACAAAAGTTTACATAAAACTGTTTTCTTATAGTGGCAATGAATGCATGATTTCTCCTATACAAGTTACAATATTATAAATTATAATGTCAATCTTGCTTAAAGTACATTACCAATTCTTGGTTGTTAGTCTATTTGGTATAGCTAGGCAAGATTTTCACATAATCACTAGCAATATTACAAAATATTCCAAATAAAGTACACTGTATACAACTTTACGTTACATGCTTTTCCAAAATACATTCATGTATATCTATAAATATGTACTTTAAGCCCAATATCTATAGTTAAATAATTATTATTTGTACTTAAGCCCAATACATGTATATCTTTAAATTTGTAATAACAAGCCCAATAAGACATTTACATCTAGCATCTTAATGCCACTACTCAAGTTTCTAATATAGCCTTCCATTGCATTTACATCTATGATATCAGCATTGCCACCATATCATTAAATTAAATTAAGCATAATAGCTAATGCAGGAGTTTCACATTTATGCAGTACCTACTAAATAAAAGATTTTTACTTTTCGTGATGCGAAGCTATTTCACATATGTGATTTTGAAATATAGTGCGTAATTAATGCTATAAATAACTTGATAATGTCAGATTAACTCTAGTACGAGAAAGTCATCTTTGATATAAAATGAGACAATTACTGGCTTGTCAGGATTTGAGAATCAATATCATTAGCAACAGCTGAGACCATCTAGCATTTTATGTGCGGTCTAAATTAATCATTTCCTGTCTTCAGCTCTGCGGCTTAATAAAGTCAGTAGAATTAGTGGATACATCTGCACTAAACATCAATTTATTTAGCCTAATGACACTACTAGACTAACTTACAGTAGGGGATGGGTGGGGGGAGCTGAGTTCAACTTTTATTTGTCATTGAACAAAGATAAATCTTCACATATGTTACTGAAAAAAAAGCTAAAAAGCAACCAAATACAAAATTTTAATGTACATGTATTAGGTCTTTGATTTTAAGTAATGCAAAATTATCATCCTTTTCCTCTGTAATTTCAGCTTTTATCTATAGTATTCAAATGGGATACTGAAAACAACAACAACCAAAGACATGTACATGTAAAAAATATAAAAGGTATTAAGTTAAATGCAAAATTATCACCCACTATCTCTGTGATTTTACAAAACAATCACTATATTATTTACCGTAGAGTGCTCAATACTTATTCTTCTCATGATATCATATGTCAAGATTTTATCTCATATTTATCTCATACTTGTCTTATATTACCTCATATTTATCTCATTCAACAAAGTATTTCTATTTGTCTTATAATTATCCTATATTAACTTATGTTTGTCTCATTTACCAAATATTTGTCTTATACTATCAAATATCTGTCTTCTTCCTTTTTTGCATTTTACTTTTTTTAATATATCTCTTATTTATTCACAATTATCTCATATCAAAACAATGAGTTTATTAACAAAACCTGTCTCAGAACTGCTTGCAAGTTTTTTCAAAACTGATCCCAAATTTCAAAATTAATATGGAAAAAAAAACATTCAATGTGTCATTTTTACAAAATGAACAATATGATAAGAGTTTGAACAAATATATAAACAAAACAATTTAGCAGGAATACCTACTGAAGACAAATAACACACACGAAAAATATAGCTTTGGACTTTCCAAGATGAGATTGAAAAAAACAATCCTCTATAATTCATAATTTCTTATATGATGTCAAACCAATGTAGATAAAATTTCAAAAATACTTTTGCCTTTTGCCTTGATCATCAAATGATATTCAACTGCTGACCTTCACATAATTTTGTACACATAAACTAAGTCTGGCTTAGATAAAATTCACCTTTGTAACAGCTGTCAATTATCAATAAGTAACAGTTGTCATCTCAACGTCAAATCTGTCTTTATAGCTTGAACTTAATTTCCTGTAAAACTTATTTATGAGAAGAGAGTCAGCACATTTAGATTTAACCAGATTTTTAAAGGCACATTATGCCTTAGAAGTGAATAAATGTTTTCTTCTTCAGAAAGGACAAAGATAAGCTTTATACTGTTTAAGTTATGGTTTTTGAGCATGTTAGATAACTACCACATGAAGAAAGAAGCAATAAACATAAAAACATCTATCTTAAAAGTAACAATATGTTAACAAAATAGTATTTTGACTGCCATACAAAATATTGATCACTATAACTAAACTAAGCACAAAAAGGCCACATCTAAGCACAAGATTGTTCAGGTAATTTGCCATTGAGTAATTTCTAGTCTGTACTGTTTCCTATTCCGTCAATACATTCTTTTAAAGTTTCCCAAAAAAAAAGATAAATAGTTTTGTCCAGATTAAAAGATGGGCAAGTCTAATCTAAGATATTTCGATTGGTAAGAGTAAAAATAGCAATGCCTTTATAGTAAATATAAGAATCTCTTATTTCTTCTTCTTATTTTTTTTTATCAGCAATGCTTTGATATTAAAAATAAAAATCTATATTTTTTCTTATCACCATTTACTGTAATCAGGAAAAGCATTTGCATTTACATTGTGTATATACATCAGATCTGTATCAGTTTCTCATTCTTTACTAAAGCACACAGAATTTTATTTCAAACTAAGATCTTTTTCTGATTTTTTCAATATTCATCCAAAACATTTTGTACCATGTTAACAGTGGAATCTTTTTTATCTTTTTTTTTTGAGAAAAGTTCATAACTTATCACACATAAAAAGAGGCAATCACACCGAATCAACACATGATATTCTTTTTTAATATACAGTCATGTTTATATGAAATTCTGAATTCTGTACAAGAACAATATACTAACAGTGCTACATTCTGAAGATAAAGAACACAAACATGTGATGCTAAATATTCACTCAGACACACGCGCATCTAATCTACAACTTTTTTTTTGTCTTTTTTTTTTTGTATTTTTCATAAAAAATAATTCTAAATTTTTCTTATATCAATATGACATATGCAATACATTATATATACACTACAAAACCATATACAGTCATGAGCTGAAAACATCTTGTTTTCCCATTCGTAACAGAATATTCCAAGTATTTGATGTGAAATTTGAACAATATTTACAGACCACACTATCAAAACAATAGATATACTGTTTCAAATGCTTCGACTATTCTGCCACTGATCAAGGTGATAATGTTTGTGAAAAAACGACGTCTGCCAAATAAAAAAAAAAATGACGATGATTTTATGATAGAACTTCTTCTGACAGGGAATTACACTTTCTCATATTTTGATAACCTTCTTCGAAGCTCTTCATTCTCCTGACGAATTTTTTCTACTTCTTCTGTAAGATCATCGTTTTGCTGTTCTAAGAATGAAGCTCGCATTGCAATCTGATTTTCCTTGACTCGTCTTGCGTCTCGTGATCGTTTCGCAGCAATGTTGTTCTTCTTACGTCTTTGCCAGTAGCGGTCATCCTTATTATAATCATCAACAAACACCTGTAACAGCCCAAAAGCCTTTTATTTTTCATGCCTACTTTAACGTTTTGTATCTTGTACAGTATCGATAGGAATTACCTTTTATTAATGAAATTTGAATAAAAATAATGCATTTTCATATAAATGATGCTTACCATCAAAACTATGCTTTAGGTTTACCGTTTAAAGATACTTAAATTAAGCATGCACAAATTCATATTATTTAAATTGTTAATATACAAATCTTTAACTGCAGCTATTGTATAACACATGATAGGACTTTCTCTTAGAAATTGTTGCTGGTTTTTTTTTGGTGTTTTTTTTTTAAAAAGAAAATTTGTTTTATATATATTTTACCTTCTTAGATTTTTTGATAATCGGCTGGGGTTTCAGCTCTTCCTCTGAGAACTTTCTGCTTGTTGGATCAAAATTTTCTTGTCCTGCAAATTTTACAGAAGTTTGAATACTGCATACATATTAATTACATTACAGTTTACTAAAGGAAATATACCAGAATAATTCATTATTCTTCTGAAAGATCATGCTTGAAAAACCTTCATGATGTAATTATAAACCCCTCTTTTAATCACGTTATCAACAATATTGATTAAAAATTTTTTATATTTACTCTGCACAGTTCACTATTCAGTCAGGATACAATATGGTTCCCTGAAACTGATTTATGGTCTTGTCCAAATTGAAAGATTTGCAAGTCCATTTAAGATATATAGTGTGCAAAGGCTTGCATTAAGTAGTAAATTCCCTAAAAATAATGAATGGTTTCGTTCAGAATGAAAGATGAACAAGTCCATTTAAGATATTTAGCTTGGAGAGGGTTAAGGAGCCAATAACACTGGCAGCTTAAAAAGAAAACAATAGTTTAAGTAAAGAAGAAAAGGGGACATTATTCTGCAGAGTAGCTTAGCAGATTTACTTGCCCCTGACTACCAACTAATGTGCCTTAAATTATAATGAGATTCTATCTCAAATAAGTAAGTTCCATACTTAAACTGTTCGTTTTACAACGTTTGAGAGATACCATTTTATATAACTAGATAAAAAATGTTGGCAGGAATGAGTTCATCACCAAAATACCTGTGAAATTATGGACATAAATCTATAACAATTGTCAGCTAATTGTCACTAATTAACAGGTATGACCACTAAATGTCTATACCTGACTGTATAATAATGAATAAGGTCAAATGTAACTTTCTCCTACTACAACTTTACTATGATACTTGCAACATGAATACTACAACCTCAGACTGGTCTCAATAATGTATTTTTGTTAACCGAAAATGTGCAAGAATTGAGTAACCATTCTAAATATCCTTATCAGCTGTACTACCTAATTACATGGGCAGTCTGTAAAAAATATTTGACTTTGTTCCAAATGATAACCTGCTGAACATGTAAGAGGGCACAGTACAAATGTAAGCAAATGCAAGACATTAATACAATTTCAGTATAGGTATACAATGTACTACATTGTCTTTCTATTTGTACATATTGATTCTTAACGTTATATAAGTTTTCAGCAGCACGCATGAAATCGTCTTTGAAGTTCATCCCTTTAATTAATAAGAATTCTCCCATAATGTCCTGACTAACCCTATAAACATCTGCCTTGCAACATGCACTCCTGCCTTTTAAAGCATGAAAGGAAATGCATGGCATTTACAGAACGGTCTTAAAATAATATCATGACATGCAGAAAGTGTTATCTAATAGGAGATAAATAACACATAATTATATAGTATAATACTTGACAACAACAGCGTCAGGTGTCTGACAGATTCTGGTAAATACCTAAATGTACACCGAGTCTTTCACCTATATCGTGTTCCTGCCAACTTTTTAAAACCATAATACATTCATGCAAAGATTACATTAAAACTTGTTATTAAACATATGACCCTATCAAAGATACCTTATAACCATATAAAGGGATAGTTGATACCTAGGAACGGCAATGAAATATGCGTCAACTTGTGTAAAGTTGGAGGCCATAATTCAAATTTACCTTAACCCACTCAATTTCTTTGATGGACTTGTCCAGCTTTCATTAAAGGAAGTTCCAGAGCCACTCATAAATGATTATCAATATCTAGGTATATCAAGGTAAAAATTTAAGTAAGCCAGGCAACAGTAAGAGCCTAAGTCTGGCAAGTCTGCACTTATGTCTGTACTGGTGGCAAAGGCTTAAATCACTGTCGATTCCAACAGGGTAAGGTTTTACAGTATGATATGATATTTTTCCCTACTAAGCATTTCATTTTTATTTTCAACTAGACCACAAACTTTAAGGCAAGTACTGAAAAAGTCATGAAATTGTCTGCAACGACAAGAAGCCTTCATTTGCAGAATCAAAATTGAATATATTACAAAGGTTGAATCTTTAAATAGTCATAGAATAAAATGGAAGGTGGTCCTTGTCACAGACCTTGTGACTTAACTGATTATCTTGTAAAACCTTAACCTGGCCTCAAGGTTATAAAACCCATCCCTGAGATCAAGCTCGAATCTTAGGGTTTTCATTGGTCAATTCACATTCTGTGCCTGTTTCTGGCCAATGAAATGCCTGAGATCCGACTTTGAGCTTAGAATATTTCTTAATAACCTTGGCCCCTGCTGTACTGCTGGCAGCAAACTGAACCAACCCATATGCCACGTGCAGGCCCAAGTCAGCCAGCACAGCCATGCTATCTGATCATGGTCTGCACAGTGTTAGCTATTCATGCAATACATATTTTGAAAAAAATCCCTACAAATAACAAATGGTCTTGTCCAGATTGAAAGATAGGTAAGTCCGTTTAAAACAGTTATAAGGTAGGGTAAGGGATTTTCTTTAACATATCTATATGTGATAGTCTTCAAATGTTTATTCTACACTAAATGTTGGCAGCCTTTCTTGAACTTCACATTCATCATATTTTCATTTGACTAATTCACAGATTTTATACAGAACTGTTATCCGATTTTGTTTCTCACATCTCTAATCAAGATAAAAATGCATGAAAAATATTTTAATTTCAAATAAATAATGTCAAAATAATAATCACAATTTATTTCAAGACTCAAAATGGCTATTTACTTAATTAGGAAGGAAACAGTTTTTTTTAGTTTATATAAAAGTACATAATCATATTTACATATTCTAAAACGTGTACTGCCAAAATATGTTTATGTGACAAAGGTTTAACACATATGTAACCATTTGTCTGCTTGCGGCAAAAAATTCTAACCATGCCACCAGTGCCAACCAAAATGAATCAGTACTTCCATGCTATCTGATCGTTGTCTGCACTGTTTGCCTTGACAATACATGTTTGGAATTTCCCCTTAAATCCTGAATGGATTGGTCCAAATCGAAAGTTGGATGTGTCCATTTAAGACTTTTAGAAGGGGTAAGGATTAAAAAGTTAACATATGTAACCAAAATGATGTACTTTTATATAAGTTGTAAAAAACAAGTCAACACTGTTATTTTGGCAAATGTGTTACATCAGGTAAACAAATATGTTTAATAAACAAATTAACAAAATGTCTTTAATCACTCCTTCAAAATATTTTTCATTATTCATAATTAGGGAAAAAATAGGATTTCCATTTAACTTTTTATTTATTTGCTTTGATTTGCAGCAAAATCTCTTTACAGGCGTTTGATTCAACTGAATGCTAACCCAACTGTACAACCACTGAGGAACATTTCCACTATTACAAAAGACAGTTTTAAAATTAAGCAGTAACACAACAAATAGCAACAGATGTTAACCTGCACAACACAGCCTTTTAAAATGACAACATAACATAAATGTTTTCCTAACTATCCTCATCATCTCATTAAGTAAGTTGACAGATCACTACACTGCCAGAGATATTAAGAAACATTTGCCTCAAACAAATGGTCTATAGAATGACATACCTTGGGGCAGAATTAAAATAAAAGAGCCCAATATCCAGAGATCACGCACATCAAGAGACCAAACACATCGCTTCCTGAACTAACCAAAATATAACACATGTTTATGGTTTGTTTGTTTTTGGGTTTTACGTCACATCGACACAGTATAGGTCATATCGCGACGTTCCAGCTTTACTGGTGGAGGAAGACCTCAGGTGCCCTTCCGTGCATTATTTCAAGCCTATGTAACGGTGGTTCTGTAAGCTAGCTGGATAGCTTCCTCACATGAAAGAATCCAAAGTCCCTGTAGGGATTCGAAACCACAGCGGTGCGGGGCAAGTGGTTTGAAGTCAACGACCTTAACCACTCGGCCACTGACGCCCAACATGTTTATAGAAGCTATATATATCTTCTGCAGATACATATGTATTAAAAACCCAACAAGGCTTGTTTCCTTTGCAGAGCAGTTTGGGTTTCAAATAGTTCACAGAATCTTGCCTTAATTTTGTTGACTGTTTATATTTTAGTTTACAATCCCCACATTTCATAACCATACATAACCATATATCATATTTGTACAGAAACATAACAACACCTGGGTGATGCAAGGGTGAGGGGCGCGGGTCTACATATTTTTCAGCAATATTGTTATTTACCTGGTAGAGAGTTCATAAGCTCTACGTCTCCATCCTCACTACCAATACTACTATGATTTGAACTATTAGATGCTTCCCAATTCTTCATAGAATTTGAAGCGTACACATCCAGAGACTGAGGTGACGGATAATCATTGTGATGTACTGATGGGTTGTTCTGCATGTATACTACAATTGAGTAAAGGTGGAAACATTGCTAACCATTTTATAAAGTAATACTGATTTTTATTTTTTACTCTTTTTTTCAACTTTTTGTTATACACAAAATATATGTGAAGTTCAGGAACATGGACTGCTGTTCTAAAAATTAGAAGAGAATAGTGGTTATTAACAGGGTTTGGTTCCCAGCTTATAAAACTGTTTAAGCCCGGTCTCTAACTCAAGCAACCAATTGGTAGCATTGAGTTGTCCAATGAATTTCTTCAAAAGTTGGACTGTTTTTTTTTTTCAAGAATTTTCTAGACTGGTTTTTTAAACAGTTTTATAAACGTACACTCAAAATCTGAAAATAAACTTCAAGAAATATTTGCATTATTTCCTCATCTCACAAACAACAACCATTTTCACAATCTTTAATTTCTTTCATTATTTGTTTTCATACAAGATCAAAACACTTAAGTTGTAAATTATGGTGTTAATGCACAAAGAATTCTGCAATGAAATGAGAGCTAAAAACATAATTATTTAACTGGTCAAAAGGACTGACATCACATTTTCACTGTTAACCATAATTATACTGATGTAGGCCAATCATGCAGTTTCTGTAAATCACTAAATCATTTTTACAGTTCCTTGGCCATATTTCCATCTTTTAGACATTTACCTTTTCTTCAGTAATGCTAGTTTCGACCCCGAAATATATTTTATATTTTCATACTATTTTTATATATAAACATTATTTAAAAGGACTGGAAATATTTTTTGTGACTTGCGTACATTTGATGTACGTCTGGACCAATATTTTTGTACAAAATTCTAATCAAAGTCTGCACTGTTCACTATTAAAAACTGTAATTGACATGTATTTTCTCATGTATTTGTATGTATTCAAACAGAAAATATGTAAATAAAACTTGAAGAAATTATTTCAAATTTTTCCGTTTAAGTATTGAATGGTTATGTCCTGACTGCAAGTTTTCAGAAAGTCCATTAAAGATATTTAGCACTTTTAGGCTTAAAATAAGCTTAAAGTAAGCAAATATTTCTTGAAGTAAAAACAACGGAAATGTAATGAAATTGCTGACATTTTAAACAGCCTTGTAAAAAAAACTAGTGCATTTACTTATAAAATACATGTATACATGTAATTGCATCTGAAATAAGGAAGGACAAAACAATGAAATTGTTTTTTCAATAGACAACAGTTGAACTTGAGTTTAAAATATTCATACAAATAAATTAGAAATGTTTCAATAAAAACAGAAAATGTCAACATTTTCATTCCGGTACAAAATATGTGACTATAAGAGCTTGTAAAAACAGACATTTCTGTGAACAGACTCGTTTTTTAAAAAAAATTTCAGACATATCATATGTTTTAATGATAAGTTATATGTATATACAATGTATGGTTGAGGAAAATATTGATTTTTCACTATCTGCTGGCAGTTGCTAATAACTGTTCCGAGTTTCTCATTATCAAGTTGGCCAACGTGCTTAAGATTTCGAAATATTCTCTTATACATGTACAAGCAGATTTAGCCTTTTAGTTTTTTCTGTAATACATCTGAAAGAAATAATTACCACATATTGTTCACAACATTTCTGTTTTTACAGCAAATAAAGTTAACCATTCTTCCCAATATTTTTACCTGGAATAGTGGCTATTTGATCTTCATCTTCATCATAACTCATGAACGAAGACTTGCGCTTGTCAGGGGAACTTGTGCTCGGTTTCTTACCCATAACTTCATCTAGAGTAACAACAGAGACTTTCGGTGGTAGTTTCACACCAAAATCATCGTCCATCAGATCTATTAATAGTAACACAACAACACAATACAAAACTGGTACCAGCACAAACAACAGCAAAATTACAACACAGTACTTTGGCTTTCTTTTCTGTGAATTTCAAAGGTTATTTCATAATTAAAAGCTGATTTGATAATATCATTTGCTATTTGCTATTAAAAGCAGGTTTGTTGAAATAATTTCTATTTTAAAGGAACTCCACTTAGGTCAAAGGCCTAAAAACATAAAATTTTAATTTCTTACATGAATTTGTTGGGCAAAATATTATTAAGAAATATAAAATGAAATTATATTTGATAACTGTATCTTTGTGCTATTGTTAGCCTGATTTGAGTGAAAACATTGCTATGAATGATCTAAAATTTCGCACACAAGTCATTGGTCTAAACCTACATCAAATGGAACACTAATCTTGAAAAAAAATCCAGTCCCATCATGTTAAAAAACCTCAGTGGAGTCCCTTTAAAACTTATCTCCAGAAATTCTTAACAGATAATAGCTTTTTAATTTATCAAAGTCTGTGCTTTTTGAAGATTTATTTGTTGCATTTTATAGTTTTTTAAACTTACAAAAACCTTGATACTACTAAACATATCTGTTTTACAAAATCATGAAATAAAAAATTTCATCTTTAAGCATTTTTTTATAATTTCTTTTAATGTTTCCATATCAGATTTAACATGATATACAGAAGCAAAAAAAAAGGCAAAGTAAAATGGCAAACAAAAAATATATACCAGTATTTATTTAATACAACTACACAAATAATATCTTAATTAAACCTTAGTGTATATTTGTATATTAAAACTTGTATTGTGTGAAACAGTCTTAAACCTGTTTGGCATGCAAAAAAAACTGTTTTACATTAAAAATGGAAAAATATTCTGTCTTTTCTTGTCACATCAACAGTGAACTACCGCAGTTAACCAACACTATCACCATATTGATTAATATTTTTGCAATTCCAGTATTCATTTCCTTTCAAGAAACAAAATGACCTTGAACTTTAGACAATTTAAGACAAGAGTATTGATTCTAAAGAAATATGAGACATCTAAGAATATTAATTCATCAGGTACAATATAAATCAAGGTGTGTCGCTTAATTGCTGAAACCCAATACAAATGGTAACTGTCACAAACATCCACTGATGTTTCATAAAACAGAGAGTTAATATCACAATGTTATTAACTTTTCAAGTTCAAGGTTTGCCGCTAACATTGTGAGTGCAAAGCAAAGACGTATTGTCATATGTCACAAATTTCATGCTGATCTTCCAACTATTTGTAAAACATCTATTTTATCACATTTCTATAATACATCAGCAAAGGAGAGAAAACTGCTGTTCAGAATCAGTAATTTAATCAAAAAAGAGAACTTAAGCTCAGTTATAACAGAAATATAAATGAATTTCTCAGAATATTTTCCTGAATTGAAGACAGTTTTCAGAAAAGCGGACAATTTACCCAAGAGGAAAATTTATATAAAAATGTCAAAGCAACTTTACAGAGCAAAATACTTTATACTATTGCCATGGTTTCAATGCATAAATTAACTTTATTCTTTTACAAGCGAGGGTTACTAATGCACGGCCTTCACATTTTAACTAAAATGATCACAAAAAAAGAGAATCATTTGCTGACAATAGTGCCATAAAATATTAAACAAATATCAAATATATACATGTACAGTGCTCAAATATGATATAAGAAAAGATTGATAATTGCTACACAGTCTCTTTGTAAAAATAAGTAGAACATGTTTTGACTTCACACAAAGCAGATGTGTTGTGTTTAAAATTCTACACACTATAGGTGGTCACAATATGAATATAAATTTCTTGAATAATATATAAACTGGTAGTTTTTAAGAAAGACCAATTTTGTTTGACCTGTAATAGGGAAATTATTTCTTTACTGTTAGGTTAGATATTTATAAAGTACATTACTTGTCCATACAGACTGTTGGACAACCTGGGAAACACAGACCACTGATTATGCTGCCCCTGGTACAAATTTTAGGGTCTAGTGTTTTTTACTGAATTTTACAATTAAATGTTTCCTACCAAATTCGTTTTTCATTAAAGCACTATAAATTATTACAAGAAAACTTGTCACACATTACAACTACATGCATACAGGAAAATAAACTTACATCTTTCAATAGCAGACTGTGGCTCCGAAGTTCTGGGTGAGGAGACTGGGCTCAAAGATAGTGGGGATATTGTAGCCTTGTTGACTGGGCTCTCTGGTAGGTAACCTATGTTCGATGCTTTCTTCACTGTCTTTAAGCCAATGTCTCGGTTTGGACTCTCCGGTGATATACATATTCCGTTTGTCTCACGCTGGGGCGAGCCCGGAGGAGTTTTCGCAAGAGCGCTAGCTAATAAACTGATAGTCTGAAAAGACAATTGATGGTGAATCAGTTCAAGCCAATCAAGCCACCATACTTAACAAGCACTTAAAATGGCTCTTGAATTAAAAGGACTCCATCAAGTTTATTTTGATAATTAAATTTTGTACCATTTGATGTAAGTCTGGACCAACAAATTGTGTGTAAAATGTTAGAGTATCAATCTGTTTTTATTTTACCTAAATTGAAAAGCATTTTAACACTTTTAACTCAAGAATTGCATTTAAAAATGAATGTAGTTCATGTGAGTTCAAAGATATTAATGATTGAATTGCTTTAATATTTTTTTCAAAATTAATAATTTAATATACATGTATAAATTTATTCTCACATGATTGACAAATACTACTACTAAATCAAACTAGTTATATCCACTGTCTACTCACCTCAGCTTCATCATTTTCATCAAGATTTACTGGAATCCCATTCTCTGAGAGGAATTCATCTAAATCCATGTACTCAAGGTCGAATGCAGATCCATCATTACCAGAAGGTTTGTCCCAAAGGTTAGAGCCAAGGAAAGCCGAGTTGGCATTTGGCATATAGTTTCCAACTTTACCAGGTTTCTTAACATTGTTGCCCCCTGAAAATATAAAATGTGGCTTAAATATAATATACCTCAGTCTGGACTTAAGTATATTGTAACTATTTAAACAGTGTTGTTAGGGTCTCACACACTGTATTTAATTGATAAAAAAATATATATGTACATTGTACTTGTATAAATAAGATGTCCCTGTTATAAATGCTATCGGAGGTAACAACTGAATTGCCAGTTTACCTTCTTGTTGTAAACTTGTCTATTTACCTGCCCCTTGTAGATTTGTCTGTTTACCTGCTTGTCCTAAACTTGTCTGTTTACCTGCTTGTTGTATACTTATCTGTTATGAATGCTATCAGAGGTAACAACTGAATTGACAGTTTACCAGCTTGTTGTAAACTTGTCTGTTTACTTGCTAAAAGTGCTTGTTGTAGATTTGTCTGTTTACCTGCTTGTCATAAGCTTGTTTGTTTACCTGCTTGTTGTATACTTGTCTGTTTACCTGTTTATTGTGGACTTGTCTGTTTACCGGCTTGTTGGGGATTTTGTCTGCTTACCTGCTTGCTATAGACTTGCATGTTTACTTGCAGTTTATTTGAAGAATTAATGAACCATGCTTGTTAATTTGCATAAAAAATGACTAATACAGTACCTATCTGCTTGAGGAGATAAACCCATTTAATGTTAACATTTTACAGACAATAAATTACATAAAATCTACATGCATGGTTACATCTTCTTTACATGAATGCAATCTGTATTTAAAATTTCACTCACATAGAGTTAGCTTTAGCTCTACTTCATGCATCATGTAAATTATTAATTGATTATTAATTGATATAAACATGTACATGTAACTGTATTTCCTCAGAACAAATTTTAACTTGCAATTTGTCTAAAGAACTAGTATGTCCCAAGATTCCACTACTTTGTTCAGATGCAAATTTATATGCTCCCTGCTCCCATCAGAATAGTGGGAGCATAAAAAAGCTATCTCTCAATATTTATAAATAAACTAGAGGTAGTGGAGGACAAAGAGAAACCACATGTCACCACCTAATAGGTTAAAATAATTTATTAAAGTCTACTAGTTTCGATCAAACATGTATGATCTTCATCAGAACCCATTTTTATAAATGTGCAATTTCAGTACAACTAACAGTGCTGGCAATACTGGCATTCAAATTGATGTTTACATTGAGTGAGTGTATTGTTTACATTGAGTGAGTGTATAGTTTACATTGAGTGAGTTTATTGTTTACATTGAGTGAGTGTATTGTTTACATTAACTGAGTGTATTGTTTACATTGAGTGAGTTTATTGTTTACATTGAGTGAGTGTATTGTTTACTTTGAGTGAGTGTATTGTTTACATTCAGTGAGTGTATTGTTTATATTGAGTGAATGTATTGTTTACATTGAGTGAGTGTATTGTTTACATTGACTGAGTGTATTGTTTACATTGACTGAGTGTATTGTTTATATTGTCTGAGTTTATTGTTTACATTGAGTGAGTGTATTGTTTACATTGAGTGAGTTTATTGTTTACTTTAAGTAAGTGTATTGTTTATATTTAAAGTGTATTGTTTACATTGACTGAGTTTATTGTTTACATTGAGTGAGTGTATTGTTTACATTCAGTGACTGTACAGCTTACATTGAGTGAGTGTATTGTTTACATTCAGCAAGTGTATCATTTTTTTTATATTATTTAATTATTTACATTCAGTGAGTGTACTGTTTACATTCAGTGAGTGTATTGTTTACATTGAGTGAGTGTTACATTAACTTTCACTGAGTTTATTGTTTGTATTCAGTGAGTGTATTGTTTACATTCAGCGAGTGTATTGTTTACTTTTAAGTGAGTGTACTGTTTATATTCAGTGAGTGTATTGTTTACATTCAGTGAGTGTACTGTTTACTTTGTAAATGTATTGTTTATAGTCAGTGAGTGTACTGTTTACTTTGTGAATGATTTTTTTTTTACATTATTTAATTGTTTACATTCAGCGTGTGTACAGTTTACATTAAATGAGTGAATTGTTTACATTCAGCGAGTGTACTGTTTGCATTCAGCGAGTGTATTGTTTGCATTCAGCGAGTGTATTGTTTATGTTCAGCGAGTGTATTGTTTATGTTCAGCGAGTATATTGTTTATGTTCAGCGAGTGTATTGTTTATGTTCAGCGAGTGTATTGTTTATGTTCAGCGAGTATATTGTTTATGTTCAGCGAGTGTATTGTTTATGTTAGCGAGTATATTGTTTATGTTCAGCGAGTATATTTATTTATGTTCAGCGAGTATATTGTTTATGTTCAGCGAGTGTATTGTTTATGTTCAGCGAGTGTATTGTTTATGTTCAGTGAGAATATTGTTTATGTTCAGTGAGAATATTGTTTATGTTCAGTGAGAATATTGTTTATGTTCAGCGAGTATATTGTTTATGTTCAGTGAGAATATTGTTTATGTTCAGTGAGAATATTGTTTATGTTCAGCGAGTATATTGTTTATGTTCAGCGAGTATATTGTTTATGTTCAGTGAGAATATTGTTTATGTTCAGTGAGAATATTGTTTATGTTCAGCGAGTATATTGTTTATGTTCAGTGAGAATATTGTTTATGTTCAGCGAGTGTATTGTTTATGTTCAGCGAGTATATTGTTTATGTTCAGCGAGAATATTGTTTATGTTCAGCGAGTATATTGTTTATGTTCAGCGAGTGTATTGTTTATGTTCAGCGAGTGTATTGTTTAATGTTCAGCGAGTGTATTGTTTATGTTCAGCGAGTGTATTGTTAATGTTCAGCGAGTATATTATTTATGTTCAGCGAGTATATTGTTAATGTTCAGCGAGTATATTGTTTATGTTCAGCGAGTATATTGTTTATGTTCAGCGAGTATATTGTTTATGTTCAGCGAGTGTATTGTTAATGTTCAGCGAGTATATTGTTTATGTTCAGCGAGTATATTGTTTATGTTCAGCGAGTTTATGTTCAGCGAGTATATTGTTTATGTTCAGCAGTATATTGTTTATGTTCAGCGAGTGTATTGTTAATGTTCAGCGAGTATATTGTTTATTTTCAGCGAGTATATTGTTTATTTTCAGCGAGTATATTGTTTATGTTCAGCGAGTGTATTGTTTATGTTCAGCGAGTATATTTATTTATGTTCAGCGAGTATATTGTTTATTTTCAGCGAGTATATTTTTTATGTTCAGCGAGTGTATTGTTTATGTTCAGCGAGTGTATTGTTTATGTTCAGCGAGAATATTGTTTGCATTCAGCGAGTGTATTGTTTATGTTCAGCGAGTATATTGTTTATGTTCAGCGAGTATATTGTTTATGTTCAGCGAGTATATTGTTTATGTTCAGCGAGTATATTGTTTATGTTCAGCGAGTATATTGTTTATGTTCAGCGAGTATATTGTTTATGTTCAGCGAGTATATTGTTTATGTTCAGCGAGTATATTGTTTATGTTCAGCAAGTATATCGTTTATGTTCAGCAAGTATATTGTTTATGTTCAGCGAGTATATTGTTTATGTTCAGCGAGTATATTATTTATGTTCAGCGAGTGTATTGTTTATGTTCAGCGAGTATATTGTTTATGTTCAGCGAGTATATTGTTTATGTTCAGCGAGTATATTGTTTATGTTCAGTGAGAATATTGTTTAGGCCAAATTAAAAATATTCCTTGTTTGCTGTCTCCCGAATTGGGTAGGTAGGTAGGCAGAATATTTTTTATTCTAAAAATTGTACATAGTTATCCTTATATTTCTCATGAGAAAGTAAAATCCTATAAACAGTGTTTAAACCTTCTGATTTATATTTTCTATCTTCTGTTTTCCATATCAAAGTACTATTCTGTTAACAAACTGGTTGGTTTATGTGAGTTGAATGAGTTGGGATAATTAATAAAAACTTTCTTGCTCAGGAGGCAATAAAAACTTTTGGGCAGGCCTGTTTTTTATGGGTAGGTAGGGAGACAGCAAACAAACATATTTTTAATTTTGGCCTTATGTTCAGCGAGTATATTGTTTATGTTCAGCGAGTGCATTGTTTATGTTCAGCGAGTATATTGTTTATGTTCACTGAGTATATTGTTTATGTTCAGCGAGTATATTGTTTATATTCAATGAGTATACTGTTTACATTCAACAAGTGTATAGTTTTCCAGACAGTAACAAATAAAGGTCTGTAAAAAGTCTCAGCACCAAAGTAATATCTTTTTTTTTCTTTTTTTTTGGGGGGGGGGGGGTTTACACCAAACAGAAGAAGTCATATGGTGACTTTTCAGCTTCAGTGGCAGAGGAAGACTTCAGGGACCCCTAAGCGCATTATTTCTGTTGATTTAGGCACAAGTGGACACCTGTGTAAAACCATTGATGTTCCATAAGCCATTAAAGTCCCTATAGGGATTCGAACCTCCATGCAGTGGCCATGGATGTCGTAACAAAATTAATATGACTTATATCAAAATATGACGTCAAATATTTGTACAGCACTTTCAACAAAATTTTAAAGCTGCTGCATGCCTCCAGATGAGCAAAAACATTTAAGAAAAAAAACGAGAAAAAATTACAAAAATTTTAAAAAAAAGTAAAAAAACATTCAAAAAACCCCAAAATGAGGAAAAAATTAAAAAAGAAAAAAGTTTAAATTAATATATACATGTATGTGGGAAATGGGTTGATTAATGAAAATTTTGCTGTATTTTTATCACCTACCCATTTTTTTTGCTCTTTTGCTTTTTAAGGTAATTTACTTTAACTTGAGAAATTTTGGTTCTTTGATATTTTTTCCTTCTGGGTAAACCCTTTTTTGATATCCCCATACCAATTGCAAAAATTTTTTATCTCAAAAAAACTTTTAAAACAATTTAAAAAAAAAATTTTTTTTTTTTTGGCCCCTCAGTAAATTTTTGAACGTAAATTTGGTTGTTTCAAGTTTTTGGTTTAAAAAACGGGGCCAAAAATTTTTTTGGTTTTTTCCCGCAGGGTTTTTAAATAACTTTCTTGTTTTACTTTTTTTTAAAAAAAAACCAAAAAAAAATTTTTCTTTCCAAAAATACCAGCAAAACGATTTTCTTACTTCCCACTACCCGTAACCGATGCCCAAAAACTGAAAATTAGCTAAGTGCAGATGTACCCAAGTACATATATAATATGCGTACTGTAAATAGGTCACACAACATACGTACTGTAAACACGATAGACGGTGGTAGAAATTTTATGTCAAAATATGTAGAAATCAGTCGCTTACCATTGTTAAAACTTGGAGCCGTTTGTAAGTTTGGATCCTCAAGGAGAGCCTTCAATGAGAATCCGTGGCCAGCGTATCCAAAATTAGACATATTTGTTCGCAGATCGCAAGATTGATATTGTTCGCTTCTCCACACAATAATAATCCTTTAACATTGGCAAGTGCTCGTTTCTATTTTTAGGAACGTCAAAACGCAACTGCCAATCAAATAAAAGGCTACATTTATATCTCCTGTTTGATTGGTCAAATGTTTTCAGCTGTTTTCATGGCCACATCTAGTCACGTTGAAAAAAGCGTGCTTACAACAATTTTGACCGGTCAAGATACGGCACCGTGGTTCAAGGATAAAGCCCCGTCGTCAAAGAATTGATCTTCGGACATTATTTGCCAAATTTATATACTGTATATCATTTTCATTTAAAAGTTTTCTTTTATACTAGGCTACAAGTATTTTCACATGCTTAGACTTAGAGGTAATGAAAATCTAGCTAATTACACTGAAGAGTAGCATGATCGAGTTATATCAGGGACACAATGTTTCTGTTTTACATAGACCTTGCATGCATATTTATTTTTGATGTGTTTTAAGAGAGTTATTAAATTAGTTAAACCATAGAGTTAATAACTGTATTGAAGATCTATATTACAGTAGTGTATTTTAAGTGTTTTGCTATTTTCCAAGAAAGGTAACTCTGTCGGTCTTGTTTGATTTTAATCTTTGGGTGATTATGTCCCCTCACGGATTTTTATTATAAATCCGTGATAAATTATAAATCCGTGGTCCCCTTGACCAAATTTGCTATTTTCTCAACCATAACGTTTCTCTCCTAAAGTAAGGGTCACTTGAGGTTATTCTTTGTGTTATAGAAAGTTGTTATAAAAGAATAAGATTATTAATAAGGATTTGAATTGAGGAATTGGTATTTGTATGTTTTATTCATTTGTTCTTAAAAGTTCTAATGTCAGCTAAATGAAGACTTATAGTAATTAAATACAGTTGTGGATTAATAAGATAAATAAATAATTGCATGATAAAAGTTATTTTGATAAATTTGTATTGTTCTTGAGTGTTTGTTCTTATATAGTTATTCCTAGAAATCACTGTTTCTATTTGTTATGCACTGATGTTTGTTATTTACAGTAATTGCAGTACAGAGATGATATCACAGTGTGAGTGACAGAGGTAAAGTTACAGAGTCTGATCCACAATTGGTATATGTTATATTATTATAATTATATTTATATGTCATTGTTTATATATTTTTGGAGCTACATGCATAATGTATATTGTTTTATAAGTAAATGATTAAGTGGTCACTAGATGCAGGTACAATATGATGTAATACATTTAAAGATGTATTTTATGTGTACATGATATATTTAGATGAGATACAATGAATGAACTATTCATATAGACTGATCTGTTGATAGAATATTAGATTAAGTATATTTAAGGAACTGTAATGTACTTAATGAAGTGTACCTTACAAATGTATAAAACTATACATTTTGTATATTTTCATGATAGTATGGGATGTAGGGTATTTATACTTTCAGGGCTTGGTGACTGTGATGTAAATGTGATGTGATGTGATGTGATGTGACGTGATGTAAATGTGATGTGTATGTTGTATGATGTATGACATATGATGTTTGATGTTGAGATATACCGAATTGGAATTATATATAGCTAGTGTCCACTATAAATTAAATCGATGAACAAGTAACCCTCAGTTTTGTTCTTTATCTTTACAAGGCAAAAAGACATTGGGGTCACAGTAGTACTGTAAGTATTTTTTGTATTCAAATTTGATGTATGAGGTGCACATATATATTCAAAATAAAAAAAACAAAAAAACTAAAAGATGTACAACATATTGCAGATAATCTTCAGTCCTATTGACCATTGTCAGGACACAATGATATACACAGCTAGTGATTTATTGATATGTTGTTATAAAAGTTTAAAAGACAATTTTGTTGAAAATAATTTGTAAGTACATAAAACATTCATTTAAGAGAGTATAAAGGTCTTCTCAGACAGCTGGGAATCTAAGTCTTCCCTGTGGAGATTCAGCTATACAGTTTTACTTTATCTTTATACTTATAAATGCACTGAACTTTGTTAAAATGTGCAAAATACTATGTATTCATAAAGTCAATTTTATTTACTTGGTTTTTCTCTTCTGAAAACAAGTTTTCATGTACTTGCCACAATTATATATTTCTTGCTATAAACTTTGAAAAAGAGTTTTATGCAATAAATTATGGTGTTTGATGTTGTTATGTTATGTTATCAAAGGTTTACCTCAAAACAGCATTAAGTCATATGAAATAAAGAAGGACTTACAACAGTCATGCGGTCAATCCTTGATATGCTTTAATTTAGTTTCTTAATGTTGCAAAGTCTATGTTAATTGTTTTAGCTATTTTAATTGTGTTTGCTCAGGGGAGGGCCCACAATAATGTAAATGTACGACTTTTGCCTAATCATTTTATATTATTGATGATGTTGATGATAATAAATTATTATTATAATTGTTAAATGAGTTATTATTATATGCTTGCAATGGCCCATGACTTGCTACAGTAATGTACATTTTCAGGATTGGTGAATATTGAAAATAATATTGCAGTTATTTTTTCAGTATGAAAAAGACGCAAGGCACAATATCACCACTATCCAGCTTGGTCTAATGATAAAAGAGGAGGAGAGATCACTGTGAGGAAATTGACATGATTTTTGCAAACAGTTATTAAACATTACAGGTAAGAAAACATTTCATTTGTGTGATGAACAATGAAAATTAACATTTTTCAAGGTTAAAAACTGAAATGCAGTATAAGGCCATAACATTGAAAATGTAAATGATTTTAATTATCTTGGAACGGTGTTTAACTACACCGGTAATTTTTCAATGAATCAGGAGCACTTATCAGGTAAAGCTTTAAAGGCACTGAATGTTCTCTTGGTAAAATGTAATAAGTTTTAAATTTAAAACCCTTACTGTTATGTCAGTTTTTGACGCCATTTGTTGTGCTATATTGAACTATTTCATCAGAACTATGGGGTTACACAAAATCAAAGGTAATTGAAAGAATCCCATCTTAAGTTTTGCAAACGTATTTTAAATGTTAGAATTTCAACCGCAAGTGCTGGTGTTTACGGCGAGTTAGGAAGATTCCCGCTATATATAACAAGATACGTAAGAATTGTAAAAATATTGGTGTAAATTGCAACAGTCAGATAATATTATTTTACAAAAGACATATGAACAGGGTTTGATAGATTGTATTAAAGGACGTAAAAACTGGGTTTCAAACGTTAAAAAATTACTAAGTGATTATGGATTTTGCAGATGTTTTCCTCAGTCCTAGATCGGTTGATTTGAAAAAATTTCCTAGTATTTTTAAGACACGAATCGTTGATTGTTTTATAAACAAGATTGGAACGCCATCAGTAAATAATTGTGCAGTGCTTGAAATTTATAAACATATTAAGCAAGAGCTAAGGTATGAAACTTATTTGGATATTTTACCTTTTAATCTAAGAAGTTATTATACAAAACTTCGTTTATCAGCACACTCACTTAGCGATACAGACCGGTCGTTTTCAAGAAATAGAATACCTAGAAATGAAAGATATTGTTTGCCAATGCAATTTGTTAGACTAGAAGAAATGAATTTTCACTTTTTATTTAAATGCCCATGTTATGAAGATATAAGAAGAAATACATAAAAAGATACTTTTTTTCAAAGGCCGAGTGTGTTTAAAAATGATGCAGCTGCTAACAAATAAAAATAATACTGTAATAACAAATTCTAGCAAAATATATTTTAAAGCCGCTACATACGTACGACTTTCACTATTAAGTAACTGATAATTCACGTACATTTTCATCCCTTTGTATACTGTTTCACAATGTTCATCCTCTCTATACTGTTTAATCTTAATTGATATCAAATTATATGATTACAAGCAAATGTTTCTTCAGATTTTGAACACAATAAAATTTCTTTCATCTGTTTGTTTTTAAAATGGTTTCTCGACCTATGCAACATAAATTAATTTAAATTATATGATTGCATATATATGTGTTTATTGTATGATGAATTTACTTTTGCACAAATCTCAAATACTATTCCTGCTTTGTTTTACTTAGTATGTATTATTGTGCAATCAATATACTTTTCAAGTGTTAACATAACCATGTGACATGATATATTGTATTATATACATGTATATATATTTGCAAGACGATGTATTATGTACAAGTCTCAAATAAAATGTCTGTTCTGTTCTGTTCTGTATAAGAATTAATGTTGAAATAAATTCTCCCATAAGCAAATGAAAATAATTCATGTTTAGGCCTATTAACGGTGCATTAATTATACATTAATTACTGGATTTGTGAGACAAAAGATTACAATATATTATTCACAATGATTAATATTAAAAGTGATCACTTGACCAGACACTTGGCACCTTTTGTTATCTATTATATTATTACCTAGGTTAAATTGGAATGAAAATTGGTTAATGAGCAGGTGTCAATTAAGAGTAACCATTCTCACTCACATTCAGAATTTGACAGCTATGCCTTTGGCCTTTGTTCTTGTTTTTCATAAGCACTTATAATCCCTGTTTACTGTAGGATCACTATTAACGTCTATATTGCAGGTTGTGTTATTTATATAATATCAACATTTTCATTTGGACCAAACGTTACTGAGTTTCTTGTCTCTTGTAGGTAAGAGGAAATTATTTTGTGAGGTGAATATTTAGAGCATGTTGAAATAACATTAAGATTAAATGGTATAATATATGTAGACAGAAGAACTTAATTATTGCAGTATCATCTGTGCTTATTATAGTTTTGTTAATGTCATTTGTACATCTTTATTACCCTTTAACAATGATAAATTTGTGTAATGGATTTGCCCAGCTTTATTTGTTGAACTGTCCATTCAAAGTTAAAGGGATTTCAATATTTAAATACAAAAATTGAGCTACCAACAGTTATAGAGCCTGGTCAGACTGCACGAATGACTGTATACTGTTGACAAAGGCCAATCACGTTCTGTTACAGAAGGCTAAGGCTTAATTTAGATAATCAAATATGTTGTCAAATCTAGTTTAGGATAATAAAACTTCATGAAAAGCTATTCTAAAACAATTAGAATTATTTGACGTTGACAAGTTTGATTATTAACGTAATTCTTTTTTATAATATGAAACTATTTATCTAAAAATAACATTGCTTGCCTTTAGAAAGGCTATCTAAAGGCCGCTTTAACCGACTCGAGAATACTTTTACATATTTTTAATATCCCAGGGTTGCAAACTCAACGACAATCATTTAGTGCCTTCAAGTGAGCAAATGTATTTCAATTCAAAGCTATTGAAGTATCATATTTTAAAATATTTGGGCCTGTCAATATAAATGTAAACTTCAACTCTTGTTTTGCTGTGGTGAGTCCAATAACAAACATTTACTGGTGGTATTAATTTATATAATGTAAACATGAACTGATGTATTGATAGTTTTCTTTTTATGACATATGGTTTTGTGTCATTATATTTAATTAATGTTAGAATCAAATTATGTATAAATGTTGTTTGTCTTTTCACTTATGACATCAGTTGCATTTAAAGCATATGTATTAAATTGCGTAAATTGATTCATTTCAGAAACGTGTGCTTCCAGTTCAGAAGGGTTATATGAAAGTTGTGTTATATGAAAGTTGTGTTATATGAAAGTTGTGTTACCAGTATATGAAAGTTGTGTTTTCCTTTAAGGGAAGGAGGATCAGGGTCAATTGATTCAGCCTCGGATTAAATTAAGGACGGATCATGGCCTTAATGTTAACATGTGATGTTTGATGTGAAATATTTACTTGTATGGAAACTATGACATCCCATCATTGTGTGCCATCTAATCACCATGACTTGGTCTGTGATACATGTAACAAACATTGTGCAACATTAACTGAGCTAAGTCAGCATGTCGGAACACATTCTACAGCCTCTGATGCTACTAATGATGAACTATTTAAGTCCGAGGAAGCAACAAAAGTTCATCGTTCTGCCAACACTATCAACAAGGACTTCTGTTGCGATATGTGCAACAAGAGGTATGCTACAAAGGGTGACTTAAATACGCACATTCAAACACATTCTTCAAAATCATTTGAATGCAAGACTTGTGGGGCTAAATTTACAACCCCAAAATATCTGAGCAGACATGTTCGGAATATTCATGAGAAACCAGCCAAGTATAGCTGTACCTATTGTGAGAAAAAATTTAAGTCTTTATCGCATTTGAAACGGCATGAATTGATTCACACGAATGAGAAACCATTTAAGTGTGAAATATGTGACATGGCTTTTAGAGATGGATGTGCTTTAAAGAATCATGTTAGAGTTCACACTGGAAACAAGCCCTACATGTGTGACGTGTGCAAGAAATGCTTTTCTCATTCATCATATCTAAATGTACATGTGCGGATACACACCGGGGAAAAGCCTTTTTCATGTACCTTTTGTGATAAAAAATTTTCTACCACAATTAGCCTTAAAAGCCATCTTAAAACTCACACTGGGGAAAAACTTCACAAATGTAAACAGTGTCCAAAATCATTCACCTTGTCCCAACATTTGAAGGTCCATGTACGTTTTATGCACACTGGTGAGCGACCATACATTTGTGTTACATGTCAGAAAGGATTTGCAAGCTCAAGTCATTTGAAACGTCACCAGTCAGTACATTTAGATGGCAAACAGTTCAGTTGTGATAGGTGCGTCAAAAGATTTACCAGCAAGGATGGTCTTAAAATGCATATGAACAGGCATTATACAAACGGAAATAAATGTTCCGATTGTCCTAAAGAATTTTCTAGCAAAAGGTCCCTTAATAGGCACATGCGGATTCACAATGGTATTCATCCTTATACTTGTAAAATTTGCCGTATGGACTTCAGATGGCTTGGACAATTCAATATCCATAAACGAAAAAAACATCCATGTGAGCTAAAAAGATACTGTCTTGTGCACATCATACGTCTTTCAAGATTTTAGTAAGATATACTGGTACAAATTAGTATTGAGAGTTTAGTAAAATTTCAAAATTATGGTCACCAGTGAGAGGCAAATGACCATTGAGTCAAATTGTCATGTGTCTCTCTTTTGAACGAATTGAAGGAAATTGAAACTTTTTGGCAGAAGAGGCAATTGCAGAGAGCAGGTTTCTCAAAATCGGGGTCAAGGTTGAACTCACTGTCTGAAATTTTTAAACCAATGGATGGAAATAAGAACTATGTGGCAGAAATATCAATAGTAAGGAGACGTTGTGCAGTATGTAGGTTTGGAATTCTTAAGATGAAAAATTGACCCAGTCCAGTGACAGGTCACATAGTTTACATAGACTTATATAGGAATACACATTGTGAAAGTACACTGCTCAGAGCGTAGATATTTGGCAAACAGCAGTGTTTTAAGGACTTCTACAACATTAAATCTATATTTAATTGCCTTATTTGCAAACCAGTTTCAGGTATGAAATACTTTTGTCTTTAGCTTTTATTTCAGCTGTGTCTCATTTCTTACATTAAAAATTTAGTGTAGTAATTAATTATTATTTTTGTTTGTTTTAAATTATATTAGGAATGATATGTTTTCTACAGGATTTTATATGCATGTTTTGATATTTATAGCACTTTTTTGTACATTAATGAATTGTAAAAAAATTTTTTTTTATGTGACATGATAATTCAAAGGGTAAAATGAAGTAATTTTATGTGTTATGATAATAAATTGTTTTGAATGGTAAATTTTTATGTGATGTAAAAAATTGTATTCATGTAGTATGATAATTGTTAATATATACAATGTATTATAATTTATATGCATGTGATATGAAAATGAATTGTTTAAATGGTTTAATTTTCATTTGACTGATAATAAATTGTGTACAGTGGTTTAATTTTACATAACATGAGAATAAAGTGTTAGAAATAACGTAACTTTTATGTATTAATAATAAGTTGTTGTGAATGCCTGGGGGTAACTCTATATGGATCTCGAAATTGAGTATCTGTAAAAGTTATATAAATTTTCCGCTGATAGATGTATACTATAACCACCTAATTATGTGAATGCAGTACAAGTCATTCATATAGTAAGTTTTTACATTTTTAACTTGACTATTTGATAAAAATAAGTAGAGCTTTCCTAGTCACCCTTGTGTTGGTGTGGGCGTAACAACTTACATGTATGTTAAAGTTTGTACCACTACTACCTCAAATACTTTCAAAGTCTGTTTACATATAGCTTTGAAACTTTGCAAACTTATTCACCATCATGCCCCCAACCTGTAGACAGGAGGAAGTAACTCTATCAAGCATTTTGACAGAATTATGTCCCTTTTACAACTTAGAATTTAAGTGAAAGTTTGCGTACCACCTCAAATATTTAACTTTGCACACTTTTTCACTATCATGCCCCCAGCCTGTAGACAGGAGGAGGTAACTCTAGCAAGCATTTTGAAAAAATAATGCCCCTTTTTTCAACTTAGAATTTATGTTGAAGTTTGCATACCACCTCAAATATCTTCAAAGTTGACTGACATATGGCTTTGAAAATGTGCACACTTGTTCACTATCAAACCTGTACAGGAGGTAACTCTTGCAAGCATTTTGACAGAATAATGCCCCTTTTTTCGACTTTAAATTTAAGTTAAAGTGTGCATACCACCTCAGATATTTTCATATTCCATTGACATCTGGCTTTGAAACATGTTGAAATTTTATACACTTCTTTGAGAGCATAATAGGATTATCCAAGGCCTAATACTGTAAAAATGGATTTGGAAAAAAACAAGCCCTTTTAAGAACTTAGAAAATTTCACATTATCAAGGCTCTTTTACTGTCAGGCACTAAGAATAGTGGAGCATGCTGTCCTACCAACAGCTTTTGTTAAATCATTTTTTATTCAAAGTTCAACGCTTTTCTGAGGAAAGAAAAAACAACAAAAGTAATCCAGGAAAGAGACAATATGGTAGACTGACTGCAGAGATGTGACCAAAAATGTGTATAATTCGGCATAAAAACAGGTAAACAAAGATAAAGTTCCAAACATCAAAATTTGGGTCCATGTGTAGTAATACCAGCTGATTAGCTAGTTTATAATATATGCACATTGCTCATGCTCTATAACATGTCTAGCCAGTACCTCAATGTTAGGGATTTTAGGAGAATAAATTTACATCTTGTAGAGTATACACATGCTTGTGTTATATCACTTTTTTCTGAAGTCTACTTGATTTTTATAACTCCCAACAACAAAACACATGTATATGAAACTCCATTGCATACATTTACAACATTGTTTTATTGATCATATGAAATTGACTACGAGATTGGTATTGAACAATGTACATGTATATAATAGTCGCACATGAATTTGAATTGGCCATTATTTAGTTGAGGTACTCGACTATTTGTGAGAAATGAAAGGGAAAAAAACAAAAATCAGGAACCAATGCAAGTAGTGAAAGACAATTTATTTAGAAATAATGGACTGACAATATCTAAAATGCCTTCATGTCAAAATATCTCGGATAAATGAACAAAAATTGTTTGGTTAAAACAAAACATTATCTTAAAGATATACTAAGCTCACCTTTGGGAAAAATGCTTTTATAGAAGGCATTTATTAAAATCTAGAAATTTTTACTAAATATGTGTATTTTGAATAAGAGAATGGATTGCATAAATTATGTTTAGGAAGCTGTGTTCCCTATTACTGTCATGTGGTCCCTATAAACGGCAAGATTTTTATGACACTATGCATTCATACTGTGCACCTTTAGTGTGTACAGTTTAAAATATACCTTCTCTTTGTGTACTCGAAAGATGTTTATTTTATGTTTAAAATGAATATATAAAGCAAATATCAGTATTTTCAAATATCAAATTTGAGCTTAGTATATCTAATATACAATTAACAGCTGTACTGCTGAAATGGAATATCAATTTGAGCCGCGTCACGACAAAACCAATATAATGGGTTTGCGACCAGCATAGATCCAGACCAGTCTGTCCATCTGCGCAGTCTGATCAGGATCCATGCTGTTCACTGTCAGTTTCTCAACTTGTTATAGAGTTGGTAAGCGACCAGCATGGATCCTGATCAGACTGCGTGGACTGGATCCATGCTGGTCGCAAACCCACTATGTTGGTTTTGTCGTGACACGGCTCAATTTTCATTAAATCTACATTTTCCTTATCTTTATAAAACTAACTAAACTAAATGACATAAATATTACCAAAAAGATGCTGAAAACACCAAAAAGTTGCACCAAAATTTCCATTGCTAATTAAATGGGATCGAATACTTTAATATCAAAAGCTAAATATAAATTCATAAATAAAATTGCCATTGAAAGCAGGGTTAAAAATACACACAAAATTCTTATCTTTCCAATTTCAATATTCATGTAAAATCTGTAAAACTATATAAAGTACAATATAAACTTGCATGAAAATTTTATACATTAATTTCAAATTCATAAATTTCAGCTCTCACCTTAACCCTTATACTGCTATATTTAAGTAACAAACATTCTTGCTTTAAATCTGCATGCCTCCAGATGTACCAAAATATTTCAAGAAAATCAACCTTAGAAAAATGTACTGAGATTTTAAAATAGGTAAAAAGATTCAAGATTCAAGTAATAATTAACATGTTATATGCCATTAATGATGACTTTGCAGTATTTATTATCATATTTCTACTGAGTGATGAATGCAGTAAGGGCTATTTTTGTGGGTTTTTTTACCACTTGATTGTAATTTACTTTGATTGTAAGTGCTGTTTGCAATGTGTAAATTACTTTGTTCACTTCACAATATTTTACTTTTAAATATACCCGATATTTTCAAGATTTACATGAAAATTTTCATGAATCTGGAGGCATTCTGGTTTAAATTTGGAAATGACCTTCAAATTTCGACACCAAATGGTATAATTAACTTTTTTTCTGCCTACAAATGGTTCCATCAGTCATACTTACAATTCCATGTATTTGCCTTATAATGATTGGTTATCAATTTATTGATTTTTTGGCATTTTTTTTTTAATAATAATTTAGTTTCAGCGTGGAATACAATACCTTTATACCTTTATTAAAACTATGATCTTTCAGGAAAGTCTTGCTTTAATATTCTATACATACACATATAGTGAAAAATTTTGTGTTGAGGTTGGAAAACAATATTTTATATTTTTATCAATATTTTTTATTTTTCTTCTAAGAAAATAAAGGTTTTATATTCCATATATTTAACTTGAAACAAAATCAACACTTTTGAATTAAGGTTTCGAAAACAGTAATTTTATCTGAACATTGTTTGTCTGAGAAAATGTAGGTGTTATATTTTCTATATACATAAAGTGAAACATAAGCCCTTGTTTTCTACAGAACATTTTTTTTAATTCAAAGAATAAACAAACCCCCCTGCGATAATGTTAACTTTAAATTATATGATAAATTCAATTTTTGTATACATTTTACAATTATTTTAACATTAAAATTTATATGTATGCTTTAAATTAATTTAAAATTACAATTAATGTATCATTACAATATATGAACTAAAAATTTACAATTTATTAAAATTTACAAATATAGTATACATTAAAATTTTTAAATGATAAATTACAATTATATGTATACAAGGCACAATATCACCACTATCCAGCTTGGTCTAATAATGAAAGAGGAGGAGAGATCACTGTGAGGAATTTGACATGATTTTTGCAAACAGTTATTGGACATTACAGGTAAGAAAACATTTCATTTGTGTGTTGAAAACCAAAAATTACAAGCTTTCAAGGTAAAAAATTGAAATGCAGTACATGTATAAGAATTAATGTTGAAATAAATTCTCCCATAAGGAAATGAAAATAATTATGTTTAGGCCTATTAACGGTGCATTAATTATACATTAATTTCTGGAAAATTTTGAGACAAAAATTTCCCCAATATTATTACAAAGATTTAATATTAAAATGTTGTTGACCAGACACTTGGCATTTTTTCTATTTTATTTTTTACCCAGGTTAAAAAATTTAATGAAAAATTTGGGTTTAAAGAGCAGTGTAATTAAGGTAACCATTTACTCAATTCGGAAAATTTACAGCATTCCTTTTTGGGCCTTTTTCTTTTTTTTCATAAGCACTTATAATCCCTGTTTACTGTAGGATCACTATTGGATCTGTGGATCTATAATTGCAGGTTGTGTTATTTAATAATATAACATTTTCATAGGGATCCAAACTTACTGAGTTTCTAGTCTCTTGTAGGAAAGAAGTAGTTATTTTTGTGAGGTGAATATTTAGAGCATGTTGAAAATAACATAAGCATAAATGGCCTATGAATATACCAACAATGTAGTAGATAGAAGAACTTAATAATTGCAGTATCTTCTGTGTTATTATAGGTTTTGTTAATGTTCATTGTACATCTTTATTACCCTTTAACAATGATAAATTTGTTGTAATGGATTTGCCCCAGCTTTACTTTGATTGAACTTTCCATTCAAAGTAAAAAGGATTTCAATATTTAAAACAAAAATTTTGACTACCAAAAGTAATAGAGCCTGGTCAGAACTGCACGAATGACTGTTATACTGTTGACAAAGGCCAATCACGTTCTCTTACAGAAGGCTAAGGCTTAATTTAAGATAATCAAATATATGTTGTCAATCTTAGTTTAGGATAATAAACTTCATGAAAAGCATATTCTAAAACAAAATTCAGAATTATTTGACGTTGACAAGTTTGATTATTAACGTAATTCTTTTTTATAATATGAAACTATTTATCTAAAAATAACATTGCTTGCCTTTAGAAAGGCTATCTAAAGGCCACTTTAACCGACTCAAGAATACTTTTACATATTTTTAATATCCCAGGGTTGCAAACTCAAATACGATCATTAAGTGTCTTCAAGTGAGCAAATGTATTTCAATTCAAAGCTATTGAAGTATCATATTTGGAAATATTTGGGCCTGTCCATATAAATGTAAATTTCAACTCATGTTTTGCTGTGGTGAGTCCAATAACAAACATTTACTGGTGGTATTAATTTATATAATATAAACATTAACTGATGGATTGATAGTTTTCTTTTTATGACATATGGTTTTGTGTCATTATATTTAATTAATGTAAGAATCAAATTATCTATACATGTTGTTTGTCTTTTCACTTATGACATCAGTTGCATTTAAAGCATATGTATTAAATTGCGTAAATTGATTCATTTCAGAAACATGTGCTTCCAGTTCAGAAGGGTTATATGAAAATTGTGTTACATGAAAGTTGTGTTATATGAAAGTTGTGTTACCAGTATTGAAAGTTGTGTTTTCCTTTAAGGGAAAGGAGGATCAGGTCAATTGATTCAGCCTCGGAATAAATTAAGGACGGATCATGCCTTAATGTTAACATGTGATGTTTGATGTGAAATATTACTTGTATGGAAACTATGACATCCCATCATTGTGTGCCATCTAATCACCATGACTTGGTCTGTGATACATGTAACAAACATTGTGCAACATTAACCTGAGCTAAGTCAGCATGTCGGGAACACATTCTAACCTCTAATACTACTAATGATGAACTATTTAAGTCCGAGGAAGCAACAAAAGTTCATCGTTCTGCCAACACTATCAACAAGGACTTCTGTTGCGATATGTTGCAACATCCCCCTAGAGGGTATGCTACAAAGGGTGACTTAAATCGCGCACATTCAAACACATTCTTCAAAACATCATTTGAATGCAAGACTTGTGGGGCTAAATTTACAACCCCAAAATATCTGAGAAGGCATGTTCGGAATATTCATGAGAAACCAGCCAAGAATAGCTGTAGCTATTGTGAGAAAAAATTTAAGTCTTTATCAGATTTGAAACGGCATGAATTGATTCACACGAATGAGAAACCATTTAAGTGTGAAATGTGTGACATGGCTTTTCGAGAAAGATGTGCTTTAAAGAGGCATGTTAGAGTTCACACTGGAAACAAGCCATACATGTGTGACGTGTGTAAGAAATGCTTTTCTCATTCATCATATCTAAATGTACATGTGCGGATACACACCGGGGGGAAAGCCTTTTTCGTGTACCTTTTGTGATAAAATATTTCTACCACAATTAGCCTTAAAAGCCATCTTAAAACTCACACTGGGGAAAAAACTTCACAAATGTAAACCAGTGTCCAAAATCATTCACCTTGTCCAACATTTGAAGGTCCATGTACGTTTTGTGCACACTGGTGAGCGACCATACATTTGTGTTACATGTCAGAAAGGATTTGCAAGCTCAAGTCATTTGAAACGTCACCAGTCAGTACATTTAGATGGCAAACAGTAGAGTTGTGATAGGTGCGTCAAAAGATTTACCAGCAAGGATGGTCTTAAAATGCATATGAACAGGCATTATACAAACGGAAATAAATGTTCCGATTGTCCTAAAGAATTCTCTAGCAAAAGGTCCCTTAATAGGCACATGCGGATTCACAATGGTATTCATCCTTATACTGGTAAAATTTGC